CCGCCTCCCACTCAAAAAAAGTCATTCTAGGAGGGACTTTAGCTCTCCAAATTTGCTTATAAGGAGCAAACATGCTGCGGCTGTTATCCTTTTTAGTCAGACGACTATCATCCTTCTTGGATTTCCACCTGATTAGTAAAAGAAATTGAGTAGGATAGCACTAAAAGTTATATTATTCCTTTTTTTTCCATATAAATGGTGCTAGATTGGTGGTGCTGATAGTAGAATGGTGTGGTAACCACGGTGATGGGGATGGTGGTAATGGTGATGGCAGTCATGGAGATGGCGGAGACAAAAGTGGTGGAATGACAATGCAACAACTATGAGGATGGGTTGGTGGTGCCAACAACCGTAATAGTGATGGCAGTGCAATGATAGCAGGGAAACAAAATGTCGTAACAAGGGCAGTGGAGACAGCAGAAAAGATGGTAACGATGATAAGGATGAGGACAGTGTTGATAGCGGCAGGGGTTGGGATAGAGATTAAAGGAAAACAAAATAGAAATGAAATTTTGGATTTTTTGAAACACTACAAAGTGGGTAATGATTGGAAATAATCCTACTCATTTTAAGATGGATAATGTTTTAATCTACTTACAAAAGGGTGGATAGAGGACCTTATCCACCCTGTGTTCCCATCCTATTCTACCCATTTTATTAGACAAAACGCAAAAGTTGAAATAGGTGAGGCTGATAATGATGAGGATTTCAATGCTGACCAGGCTGTGATGCTCTCTTACCCTAAACTGGAAGTGGTTGTCTGTAAAGCTGAGCCTGAGCTAGGTTTTGTATGGAATGGAAACAAAATTTTTGAATATTTGGCAAGGTTCATGACATGATCTTATAAGCATATATATCTGGAAGCTCAGTTATTATAAACCATTAAACTTTAATTGCATGTTTCAGGTGCCGTACTTCGTTGATCCCAACACTGGCACCCAGAGTAGCGACTACAAGAAGATCTTGTCTTATTTGTTCAATACCTATTCAGTGGCCAACTTATAGTCTTGGCATTCATTATTAGATGTTTTACCAATTTGATATCAACTAAGGTGTTTTCAGTCCATCACCTTCTGTGAAAAAATGGAATAGCTCACAGATGATGACACATAATAGAAATCATCAAAGACAAAAAAAGACATGTAGTTTATGAATATTGTCCGGTAATCTATTGTGTTTCCTGCCATGATTGTCAATCTTGGTTGCGAATGCAAGCTTAGAGTTCATACTTGTCAACTCTATGGGTTGGAAAAAATATCTCAACTTGATTCGCTGGTTGTAACTCATGATGTTGCCTATGTTCTATTATCTCAAGTCTTGTTTTCTTAAGATGTAAAAGTACACTGAGGATGCTACTGCAATTATCACTAGTTGTTAAATCCTGTATTTTATATGCAACCTGTTTGATTTATTGCTGATCTTAGCTCATTGGATAATACTGAAAAAGGGGAGGGGGTGGAGGGAAAAGCTAATGCTTTTTGCAAGAACTTATTCTATAACAATAGTTGATATTCAAAGGCTGGCTAAACTACTATGAAGCCATCAATGAGATAAATACCTTCGCTCAAGGACACATGATCTACTGTGAAGCCAAAAACTTTTAATAGACCAAGGCTCAGTTTCAAGCACTACAATGGGCAATTACCTTAGATCAAAGAAAAGAAGGCCAAGATTTAATGATCTGTTACGTGAATTTCAGTGAAAATAGATTATTGCTCCAAACTTCATGGGAATAAATTTGCAGTACTAAGTGTGGAGTGTAATATTTCTTGTTTTAAGAGGCCTTTACAATAGTTGATAAATAATAAAAAATATCACTTAACAAAAATATGGCAATTACCTTTAAAATGACGATATAAAGCATCAGAATATGTCTCCACAAGGTTTTATGATTCTGTTGTCAAGTGCAGTATACCCAGGTCGACCAAACAAGAAGAAATAACAAAATAAAAGAATTAAGAGATCAACATGTAAAAACAATATAATCATTTAACTTTTATTACTCCGTCAAGAATATCTCACTCAGAGTACACCACAAAACTTTCCTATATCATCGAATAATTTAATTCAGCTAACAAAATCTACCTCGGTTTAATTCCATAAGAAAAGATAATGTTACAGAAGACTCGTGTGTTTGTAAAAATATTAGTTTCTATCCATAATTCATGCACATACAGCCGCCACAGCAAGATGGTCCCGCCTACTCTGTACAAACTTCTGTCGGAATTCTTCAAAGTTTCCTGCTTTAATTGCATCTCTTATTGATCGGAAAAACATAAGGTAATGATGAGTATTGTGTCTGCAGTTTCAGAGTCCTCATGTTAATTTTCTATTTAAGTAGAACGAACAAAAAAGGGGGAAAAACTAAGAAAATTAAGCAAAGTACATTTCAAGCAGAATCTGTGCCAGCATTTCATGAACGTTAAGCAAATGATTAATGTATGCCTTGGTATGATTCTGGCATGTGTAGCAGGTACAATTTTCAATGATTGGTGTTGTATCTTTCCTGCAAAATGGCATCCGGAAAGATGTGGATGAAATAAAGAGTGTTAAAAAAATATTGAAGTGAAATATTTTTCATGATATATGTACTTCAAGAAGAAAGCAGAATATAACATCTACAACCTACTCACGACTTCAAAGATGAGATCGTCAAAACTGCAAGTCGACAAGCAAAGCTAAAGATCAAAAGCAGGGAATATGAGGTGCTGGAAATAAGAAGATATTCAACTTACTTGTATATTGTTGCCCTTAGATTAATCTTCGTCTGGTCACTTACTACGTCGCTAAACTGGGGATTGGATGCTGTCAGCTCCATTTTAACTAGCGAGAAGGTTAGTGCAAAGCCTCCGATTGTGAGATGATAAATATAACTGCAAGTTATTGACTTTTATGAACCTCAAGATGAGAAAATCTTAGAAGATAATAACTTTATATGTACTGACTTGAGTTACATACTCTGAATCAAAAAGGTCTATGCCTGCGGCAACACCCTGCAATACCTCCTCTGTGGGAGAAAAAAAAAATTGCTTTCAATCAAAAATATTCCCAAAAAAAAAACATTTGCTGACTTAAATCATAGAAAACAGCAGTTTCTAGAACGATAAAATGCCTTTGTTTTTTTTTTTCTGAGAGAAAAATAAGTGTAATATTAATAAAACACCAAAATGGCACCATCCATATTTTCAGAAGAGAGAATATTTCTTTGAAGTTACCAAAATTTTCTCCATTGAGAAGAGAATGATCCTAAACAAAAACTCAAAGCATGCAAACTACGATCGCTTAACTAAAAAAAATGTCGCATTTGTTATTAAACGTGCAAAGTCCTGCTCAAAGAAGAGAATGTCAAGTCATGGAATGCCAGCAAAACAGAAGCCATCTTTTTATTTCCTTTTGGTGTTGGATGCCTCTAGGTTCCTATAACTAGTTCCAAGTAGAAGTTTCCAACAACATAATGAGAGAGAATGTCCACACTGAAATTTCTGCAGTCACTCCATTTTAAAATCTTACTAGTACCAGGAATTAACATGATTCCAGGAAATAGTTGCATGGACAAAAAAATCACACCAGGGAATTAACAAAAGAAAAATATGATGATGAATAAAAATTGAATCAGCACAACTAACCAGGAAGTCCAAGCCCAGATATCTGGCGTGGCCTTTCCTCTGGCAAGGAATCCTGAGAATTTAGTAGACTTGAAATATCAGAAAATTATAATATTTTTCATTCTACTGATAAAAGTAAACATTTCCTACACTACAAGAATAATACTTAATGATACTGTTGAAGAATTTAGATTGTTTTTGTTATTAGTTTTTTTTTTTCATAAGATGACTGTTAGTTATTTGTTGTGCCAGAAAGAAGCTCCTATATGCAGAACATAAAGGCATCAATGTACATAGAGTTTTTAACACCTGTCAATATGACAAAACTGCTTTTAAGCTATTTTCCTCCATTTGAGCAGGCTAAACAGTTGGCAAAATTTATTTCCAGATTTATTATTCCTATGAATCAACCATAAGTTTCAAATGAAACACAATAAATATAAAGACAACCAAAAAAGACAATGAAAATAAGATGGAAATAAGATGAAAGTTAATGGAAGGAAGAAACAGCTCAGTAAAATTTTGAAACAAGATCACGTGAGACACTTTAGTTACATAACCATAAGAGGCAGAAAAGTAATCTCAACATGTAACCCAGTCCAAACAGCTTACTAATTCTTTATTGATTAACACTCAACTACTTTAAACAAGTTGCCGATTACCAACCACTGTTTTAACACAAAATGAACACATAGTTATCATATCCACCATGACAGCGTCAACAAACAACGCTTGTTTAGGTATAGGGTGTGAGGCTGTGAATATAGGGTGTGAGGCTGTGAACATGCGACCAAGAGAGGACTGGGCCACTCACCGCATCATCTATGAGATTAAAGAGTGATACCATAGTTTACAAGGTGACAAATTATTGACCAATCATGAGGCACATGTTTTTGTATTGAAAAAGTGCCTTACAGCTACAGCATTAAGGAGAGCAGGGTGCTCATCCATGCTCTCTCCAAGCCCAAATCCTCCAATCCAATAACCTGCATAATTTATGCTCCCATTAGTTTGTAAGGACTAAGATAACTAAATCTTAATAAGAAAAACAGTAAAACAAAAGTTAATAACAACAAGATAGAAACATAAAATTCCTACAATCAATTGAATCTCAAAGAATCAATATGACACATGAAGCTAAGGAACTAATACTCGCAAATGCATGCACAAAGCATACATGAGAAGCAACATAAGTAGAATCAAGAGAAAACATAACAAACCACTGTCTATCTCAAACACAGGCATAACACATACTAGAAATAACTCGTTGTGCCTTAAATCCCCAGTATCTCTCCATCAAAATTAGAATTCTTAATCAAAAAAGAATTTTGGTGACTCTATTTTCATAAGCAGTTCAAAAATAGTTCTTTTTCCAGGAAATATGATGGGAAAAATCAGTTCTTTTTTGTACTTAATAGTAAAAGGCATATGGCTTTATTTAAAAAAAAAAGGACATATGGGTAAAAAGAAACACAAGCTCATGCAATTAAACTCAAAACAAGTACCAGGAACCTTCCTTGTACGTCTTGGCAAAAGCTATATTGCAGCCAAACAATTATTACCATGCTAGTAACATAAAGAATTCTGGCGTTTAACCACAGATACCTGATACATTTCTCTTAGCTACCTCTTGTGCACATCGCTGCCTTTGTTCTACAGAACATCCACCAACAATTGCTCCAAAAACATCTCCATCCGCCTGAATTTTTATGGGCCAACATTACAAACACAACCTCATAGGTAACATGGTGTTAAAAAATTAATCTCCTGTGTGCACCACATAAATGTATGAGATCTTTTTCAGTAAACATAAAATTTGGCTTTATTTTCTTTAGAACATAACACTTTATTTATCCCATATTATTTGCTCAATTAAACTTTAGACTGCAACAGAAGAGGCATAAAAAAATTTCAGATACAATATAACATAAGAAAGTTCACAAACATTAAATTTCATATTTTTTCGGGAAAAGGTAAATTTTGAAATTGTTCCAAAGTAAAATATGACACATAATTTGAGAAGAAAAGAGACTGCATATTAGACAAGATACCATGTTGACATCAAAAATGCTTGAATGAAATTCCAGAATCTGTTTATAATTCAATTGGTTATCACAAGAAAGAAATGGCAGGAAACCACATGAACAAGCTCAGAGAAGGATCATTATTAATGCCAAAAAGCAAAAGAACTTATGCCTCTTACAGGGCTTAATGCAATGCACTCATCGAGCCATTTTAAAGTTCTATCAACTGATGTCCTGTTCCTCTTGTCAGACACCCATGCAGGGACTTCATCAGCCAAAGTGACCCACAAGTTTGGCTTCATGGATGAAATCATCTGCATGTATTCTATTGGCTTTATCTGCAACCACAATATCAATAGCAAGGATTACATCTACCAACCAAACAATATACTCAAGTTGAAATAGTTAAAAAAGCAAGGTGGTAAATGTACCAAACGACGACCACAAGGGGTCTCAAAGGACGAACCGAGTTTGTTAGTCCCACTACATTCGGGTAGGCACAGAATAGAATCCCTTGCAACAGCTGCAAATTCATGATCATGTAAACCTAGCAACTTATGGAGTCCTCCGATCTTCGCTATTGTTTTTGTCGAAACGCCTTCCAAACTGCAGAAATTTAAACAAAAGCAATCACACCCATAAAACAAAAAAGCAAAATAAACGCAACTATCGATTCTCCTAATTGTTTTAAACAGTAATTACTCCGAATCTTCATTAATTAAACAATATACTATAGTAGATACCATACGTATCAGACACTAAACCTACAAAACATTGGATGACTAAGCAGGTACATCTTGTTTGAGCCATTTTTCACAAGCATATTCCACACATAAAACCAAGAATACAGAATAATAACAACGCTCGAATTTTAGCATTGTTTTTGCTGAAATCCCTTCCAAGCTACATGAATATGAACAACATATATCTACAAGCACATACATACGCTCACAAATATATAACAAGCTACACATACAACCGGTTTGACGACTAAGCACAGACGTCTCTGAGGCATTTCTACAAGCACATGACACGCAAAACAACAAGAACAGACCAACTCAACCCCTCGGTTGTTATTTGTTGCGAGAATTATTAGAAACAGCACGAGAAGATACTGGTTAACAGAAGAGTAATGAACTCACAAGTGCAGGGGGCTGACTTGGAAAAGACTTGAGTCTGGAGAAGGAAGGGAGGAGAGAAGATCTGGAGGGATAAAAATAGGCAGGCCTTTACGAGTCGAGAGGAGAAGAGAAGGAGTCTCTATTTGGTTCGAGCAGCTGCCCAGCTGGAGCACCCCTACCCGAGCTCCTCCATTGCTCCATGCCTTCACTGCGAACTTCATCACTCGCTTCTTTGCCAGTTCAAACTCCGCAAGGGATTTTCTTTTACTGGGGTCAGTAGCGGTCTACCTCTCGTGGCCCCGTTAGGGGCGCCAAACGTCATGAAACTACGTCGTTTAAAGAGAAAGATACGATACAATATAAATTTAATTAGATGTATAAATATAGCCTGATAGTTTCTTAAAATACGAATATAAATTAATCTTAATTGTTAAACTAATGTAAATAAAGTTTAATATAAGGTCAAAAAGCCTGTTATTCCTCAAATTTGCCACAATTTATTTAGTCTATTTGTGATTTTTAACTAAATCCAATCTGAACTAGAGCAAGTCGGACCAAATTTTTTGTCCCACCTAATCAAAATGGGTCAAGTTAAAATTTTGAGCTACATATAAATTTTTAGTTAAAATAAATATACATATATATATATATATACACAAAACTGAAATATAGAAGTTTTTAAATTTAAAGTATAATTTTTCGACATGTGTGTATTATTAAATATTTAACAATAAATACATTTAACACTAATAATTAGTTTTTTTGTTTTGATAATATACAAAAATAATGTAACATAAATGCAATATAAGTAATGGTGGATTTCCTCGTACCAAGGTGATTGTGCTAAAATATCTATTATTAAAAGATGGAATATATATATATATATATCTTAGAATAGTTACAAATTCATGATTAACCATGTCATTAAATTAATACGTAAAATGATTAATCATGTAAATAAGTCAAGACATAAAATATTTTATAAAGCCCTAGTGACATGAATATAGTTTGAGTTTCATTTAGTATAAACAATTATGATGCATTCATATAAATATATTAACATGTAAATTTTTTTTTTTACCCAAAATATATTAATAAATTTTTTACTTCATTTTTATAATAAATTATGAATTTGAATTTAAATATATATTTTTCGTACGCTTTTAATATAAACTTTTATTATAATATGTATATATGTATTATAAATATGTACATCTATGTGCTTTGTTATTAAAAAATAATTATAACAAAAAATTAGCTATACATTTATAAATCTATCTTGAAATAAGAATCACAATTATTACTTATGATTAAACAATTAAACACATACAATTACCTACAAATATATAAAACTAACAAAAAAGCATTAATTATAGTTCCAAAATAATTACATTTCTAGTGACCATGTTTTGGTGGATTAGTGGTACTTTTGTTGTTTTATTTAAGCAAGTAGATTTAAATTAAATTGTGTATATTATATATTTTAATTAAAAAAATTGTTGTGTTTTTTTAGATTAGAAAAATATATTAATTTTTTTTAACATATTACGAATACTTTAACTAAGGAAACTCATCTACCATGAAGTGTTTATTTTATTTAAATAATAAAATCTGAATTAATTATCAGAGTTTCGTAAATACAATAATAAAATAAATTATTTTTTGTTTTTAAATAAAATATAATAATCTTAATTATTAAATAATTATTTTAATAATAAAAGATTATATTATTATTAGTTGTAATGTTAAATATTACCGGCAAATTATAGGAAAAATGTATATAATTATATAGAAAATATTATAAGGTTAAATCTTCATAATCCAAAAAATTAAAAAAAAAAATGGTCCAAAAAGGAACACAAAATCCAGAAAAACAAACAGCGTATTAACAGCCGTTGATTTGTCTGTTTTCTTCTCAACGCATCTTCATTTATATTAAACCCGGCACGTTCACCTCTCCCTCTCCATAACTCTGATTCTTCGTTAGCAGAATATCAACTTTCTCTCCCACCAAACACATTATGTATATATATATATATTATATAATGTAAGAAATTATACACAGTCATTCAGCCAACAACACCATTAGCTAATCCACCAACCAAAATACCTTAAGTAGCTTTCTTGTCACCCATCAAAGCTTGCCTTCGTCTCCAAGATTTTGCCAGACTCGAATTCAATCACTGGTTTTATCTCTCTTCTTCTTCTTCACGCTAATCCTTTCTGTTTCCCTTTCAATCTAAAGAAAAAGAAGAAAAGAAAACCGCTATTGTTTTATCAGAGCATTCGCGTCATCTAGAAAATCAGAAAGAAAAACTCTGTAACGGCTTGTCTTCTCTGCGCCACCTTTTTTCTCGAGCCTATTCCATTTTTCTACATTGTTGTTTCTACGATCAGATCGATTTTCTCTGAGAAAATCATGAGGTCTAAACAGCAATTTCCCGTCAATATCAGGTTGATTTTACTAACTCTCTTCTTCCTCCTCATCCTCCTTGTCGTCGTTGTGAAAACAAACTTGTCATCTTCCCAAGAGAACCCGGCATACACATCTCAGACCCACGTCTCAACTTCACAAGAAAACCCCAAAAACGAAGATGATCAGCCGAGATCCGTAACAACGGAGAAGACCTCCGGATTCCCATTCTCCACTCCGTCCTGCACGAAAACCCCACCGTCGTTAGCCCACGCTCTGATCCACTACGCGACTACAAACATAACCCCTCAACAGACCATAAAAGAAATCTCGGTGACTCAGAAAATTCTAGAGAGAAAATCCCCCTGCAACTTCTTGGTCTTCGGGCTCGGCCACGATAGTCTAATGTGGGCGGCGCTTAACCACGGCGGCCGCACCGTCTTCCTCGAAGAAGACAAGTCGTGGATCGAGCAAATCAGGAAAAAACAACCGAGTCTCGAGTCCTACCACGTGGTCTACAACACGAAGGTGAACCAGGCGGACGATCTGCTCGAGAACCGCGCTCGAGAGGAGTGCCGAGCAGTGAGCGACCCGCGAGTATCCCAGTGCGAGCTCGCGCTCAAGGGCTTGCCGAGCGAAGTGTACGAAGTGGAATGGGACTTGATAATGGTGGACGCTCCGACGGGGTACCACCGGGAAGCGCCGGGTAGGATGACGGCGATATATACGGCGGGGCTGATGGCGCGGAACAGGGAAGAAGGAGAAACGGATGTGTTTGTGCATGATGTGGATAGAAATGTGGAAGATAAGTTCTCTTTCGCGTTTCTGTGTGAAGAGTATATGAGGGAGGAAGAAGGAAGGTTGAGGCATTTCACCATTCCCAGCCATCGAGCTCGACTGGGTCGACCTTTCTGTCCGTAGAGAAGGTTTATATTTTTGCTCTAGCGAAATAATTTAAATTTTCAGGATGAAATATCTAAAAATTTCTCATTTTTTGAGATTATCTAATATATTTCCCTTTATAAATTTATTTTGTTATTTTAATAGTAAAATATTTTAATTTAATATAAATTTGAAACCTAATCCAATTCAACTTCTATTACATCATCGTTAAAATATGATAATTGTATGCGTAGGTATATATCATCAATGGTTTATATAAATTTTTATTAAAAAATATACATAATGGTCCGAGCTCATTACTTGCCTAGAACTCAATCCTTTGACTTTTTTAGTAAACGAAATTATCATAATTAATCATTGCTTTCAGTGCAACAGCGATAAATTTTATTAAAAATAATATTTATTTAAATATAGAGAATTTATATATAGTAAAAAATTAAAAGTTGGTAAAACTTTTTGGATATTGCATGATTAATGAATGATATGACAAATTACCAAATAAAGAGAAATATGGTTACTTAATCTCTACGATTGTGAAACAATGTTGTAGGTTGTACAACTTTAACTAATGTTGAAATTATAGCACATATATATATATATATATAAGCAATATAAAAAGATGATGGTTTATATAGTTCTAAAGAATTAATATGATATTTTAAAAAGCTAAAAAGGTCAAAAATATCTTAATTTATGATAAATAAATTACAATTTAAAATTCACTTGATTCAAGTTAATTATATTCATATTTAATTCATAAAATTTTTATTATTTTATACATATATACCCAATTTGAATTCTATACAAAATTAACTTAAAGGTATGCTATTATTTTATACATTTTAATAATAAATTAATTAAAATTTTGTATTTTAAAAAATAAAGTTAATTAATTACAACAACTAAAAGTTCACACAGGACAATATTAGAAAAAAAAATAAAAAATAAGGAACCATTTTTTGCTTTAAAACTACTGAGCCTTTTGAATTGGTGTGTATTACGGGCCTACGGGCCAAACAGAATATCTTAAGGAGGACAAAGGCACAAATCGGGAGGGGGATATCTTTTGCGCTCGGCGAAGAGTACGTTTTAGCAGGTAGCCAAACAGGAGCCTTATCTGCAGCGGCAGCTTCGTTTCTAATATCGGGGCTTTTTTCTGGTTTTCGGGGTGTAGGCGTGTGAGAAAGGGAGGGAAAAGGGTGGAGAGGGGAGGATGGGGAAGAAGAAAGAGCTGCTATCGAAGGCGCCATGGCGAGGGGAAGACGACCAGGAAGCCGACAAGTTCAAAGACGCGAAGCTCAAAGTGACGAACCAACCAGGGGCCACTCCTACCATGCACGTGCCTCGCAGACGCTCCACTCATGCTAGTTCAGACCTTGATGACGATTCCCTCGAGATCGACCCCGAGCTCCGATACAGCTTCCAGCGCAACTTTCAGGTCTCTCTCTCTCTTTCTATATATATATATATATGTATGTATGTATATGTAATATGTGAGTATATGTATCAATATAGCGAGACTTTTTTTAAGTAAATTGACAGAGTTCATGATTAATTGAACTTTGAAAAATTGATTCATACATGATATATTGGGAATTTGTGTACCACCGTTAATTAGCTCTGCATATTCTTTCAATTTGAGTCATCAAAGAATTTTCAAGTTTATCACGATGGTGAACAACTACTTTAGGGACTCAGAATGGGTTTAGAAGAAAGACACTTGAGCCATTTGTGAGAGAGTTCATAAGCAGGCAGTGGAGGCTTTGAAAGGAAGAACAAAGAGCTCTAAGGAAATGTTATTTATAGAATCCATGGTATATGAATCACAGGGCTAAATTTATAGAAGATGAAAACTATTTATTGTGAGAAAGCTGGTAGAGCACATGAGCCATTAGGGCCTCCGTGCCTATTAGAGCTTCTGCTCACAAGGCTGGATGCTGTGGATATAGGGATGAGAAGGAGCTGGGGGAAGAAGAGAACGCAAGGAAGAGAAATATGGCTTTTGGAGGTGATGGTGGTGGTGAGGAGGCTGCCAAACAGAGTGATGAGGATCATTGAGATTGTTTTCCCTTCTTGTGTTTCATTAATGTGCAGCCTGTTGTGGATCATGCAATAACTACTTTGAGCAGTGTGCCTTGAACTGTAATTCAGAAAACAAGATGTTCTTTTTACAATCTTAGCGTAACTCATATTTGGAGGCGTAACATGTTATGTATTGGGAGATCTTTCTTGCAGGCATTGAGAGTTTGTGGGTATATTTCCTTGGTCCAATTTTATTATTTATGTTCAAATGAGTTCCATTCTCAATTTTGCCGCCATCTCCAGGTTCATTTCCATTCACAGTTATAAGACCATCTACAAGTTCCTTAATGCTGAGTAGACAAGTTTTTTAATGATTAATTTCTAGTTAAAGATATCGTACTTCTGCCATAAATATTGGTAAAGAGGCCAATATTGTTCAACCACTATACAGCTTCTTTTCCAGCAAAACAAATATGGAAAATTCAAGCTCCCCCCAAAATTACTTTATTTGCATGGGAAGCCAGCAGGAATGCCATTTTAACGTTTGATACGTTGAGAAAGAGAGGACAGGTGCTGGTTAATGGTTGCTATATGTGTAAAGGCCACGTGGAGATGTGTAACCATTTATTACTCTTTTGCCTAGCAGTCCTACACATTTGATCTATGGTTTATTGGCTCTTGGGAGTTAGTTGGGTAATGGCTGGTTCAATTAGGGAGGATATTTGAGCTTGGAAGGGAATTGGTAGGAATGGTAGATTT